CCGATTTTTAAAATGTGGAGCAGTTTGGTTATGGATCGGTTTGATTCTTTTGGACATTTTGAACACTCCTGATAACATATAATTGCTACTAGTTAAATTACTCAAACTTATCTTGACTTGAAAGGAAAACTCAATATTTTCTCATTGGTAGTGGATTGTCATGGTTCTGTGCATTATTAAGCCAAGTGAGTGGTGAGAACCAGTGTTATGAGTTATGACAGGGTATGGGCCATTGCAAGTGAGAAATTCACTTGAGCTTGGAGAACATGCCAAAGATTTCAGGCTGGTGACCTGCCACATCACATCGCTGTCCTCTATAGCTTGTTGTAATGAGCTTGAACAATTTTTGAATTTTACCAATGAAACATTATTTGATATGATTACTGATATTTTAGATCGCAATGCTTAATTGCTCGCATATATGGAAAGACTAATATTAGTTTTATGTCATATTTGTATTTACAATTAGAATTTTATGGCCAGGACATTTATAATTAGATAAAATTTCTCAAGTTGCTGAAATTATTTCGCTTAAATATTTTCAACAAAATTTTAATGGAAGTACTTGTACCCAATGGCTAATCATTATAAAAACAATGTTGTTTACCCCCAAAGAATTGTGTAAATAGTATATTACTTTGTTTTTTTATAGATAAATAGTATATTACTGTTAAAACAATACAATATCTGCAAAATTGGAATATGCATTGCTCTTTATTTACTTTGTTTTGGGTTAGTCAATTGGCTAGAATGAAAACAAAACTCTATGCATGCGCAAGATAAGTTGTCAATTCAAATTATTGAAAACCCACGTGACTGCCACAAAAGGGACATTGCGTCCTTTCCGCAAACTTTTTAAATGAAAATAAAATTTTGTACTAGCATATAACATCCGTTACTGTAATTTTAAAGAAAAGAGTGTAATGACCCATGATAAAGATGAATTGATGATTTTAAAATTATAGATATTTTTTATGGGATAAATTATATTTATTACCATTTTTTCTTAGCAACTCTTACTATAACTTTATTATCATTGGATAAAAAAAATGTTTAAAGAAACCATTTATGAGATTTTGAAAGATAGGTTAAGGCCTTAAGGGTGCCTTAGGAGCTGAGCAGTGAAGGGATGTGTTAAATTCTCTCAAAAAATTTGGGAAAAATTTAAAGTCTTAATCCTGGATCCACTCTGAACAGAATTGTATCTCGTGAAGGATAAGAGTGTTATTGGGCCGAATCGAACCGAGTTTTGATCTTAAAAGACTAATCCTATATTTAAATGTATCAGCCTGATCAAACATGTTACCTGATCAAACATGTTACCTGTTATGAATATAATTATTGACATATGATTTAATTATTTTCAGTTTAAAAAAATAAAATAACACAAATTTATCCAAACAAAATTATTTACAATGACAAATTTATGCAAGCAAGAGTATCGAGTCTGATACTTCATTTTTTCTGTAACTTTTGGATGCCATTTCAATTCATACATTTTTGGATGTTTCCCGTCAAATTCTGAGGAAACGTTTGGTATAGTTGAAATTTTTATTTGTCCGAAAATCTCAATTTTCACAAATATAATTTTTACATTTAATTTACAATAATATCTAAAAATTTAAAATTTTAAAATTTTTAATTTTTTGAAAATTCGAAAAAAATCCGTGCACCAAACGATCCCTGAGCTTTTATCTTTTTGGGAAACGATGTTGGTGCTGCAGTAGCATTAAAAAAGCGCTTCTCCGATCGATAATAGCAGTATAAGGTGTATTAAGTTAAAACTAAGGGAAAAGTGTCTATACTTTTAAATTACACAACTTACATCCTTTCACTCTCACAAAGAGGTGGGACCCACAACTTTATTTTTTTTTTGTCAACTCTCTCTCCTCCTTTATCTATCTCTTTCTCTCTCTTAAAATGACACAACTTTACATCCTTCAAAATTATACACACTTTTCCCTAAAACTAAATGTAAAGGTGTTAAGTTTGAGTTCTGGAAATGGATGAAGGAAATTTGATGCTTGATGAAAATTAATTTTCGATTACGGCCATATTAGTTTACTAAAAAAAAAAAGTTAAAACTAAACGCAATCGGAAATGATTATATTCATAGGATATTCTATTCTTCTATTTATGCATGCATATGCAACAGGTTGTACTTATCAATAATGATCATGCATTAACTGATATGCCTGCACTATGTATTGAAAAAACAATTAATTTTTCTTCATCTTTTTCCAAACACTGTAAATAGTGCAATCGCATGTCACTTTCAACTGAGGGCCCGGCTTTTTCTGATGAAGCTGCATTAATTATTGGGTGCATATTTTCTTATGTTGTAGGATAGTAGGAGAGAAAAAAAGTAGAGATAAGTTAAATGTGGGTCTCACATTTTAAATTAAAAAAGAAAAAAAAAATTAATTGGCACGAAAAACGAATTTGTGTAGGAAAAAGTTTTTATCTCATGTAGAAGGAGATAATGATTTCCCTTAGTTATCACGCATAAAAATATGGAAAATTATATTTTCATGTAACTTGAAATTCATTTCCTATATTATACTTATATAAAAGGATGTGTCTTTTTTTAAAAAAAATTAGTGAGTTTTACTTTATTTATCTCATAATATAATATAATTTATCTCATATTAATTATATGAGAGAAATAAAGCCTTAAAAATATTCTAAAAAATTGTATACAAAATTATATATTATTTCCTTGATAAGATTATCTCAAGCCCAATACAATCATGGTGACCTAAATCAACTCTCTAATCAGTAAATTCTTAATTATTTATTTCATGTGGACAAATTGGTTGAAAGTGACTTTCATTAACAATTATGACGCTGAAGATTATGTTAATTATTTGTAGAATTACCTGTTAATCAGATGTTACAAATTAAACCCTGCAAAAGAAGACATATTAAATACCCATTAGTTTTACATCATTGTAATTCTCATTAATTTTTTTTGGGTCCAAAACCTACTCCAAAGATGAATTTAGCAGAGAATACAAAGAAGGCGTCATTTTCTCGAGCTTAATGATGGGTGTCTGTTGTATGGTATGTTATGTATAGACAATAGGGTTAAGGACCTTACCGCAGAACAAAACAATGACTGGAGGTGTCATTGGCATATATGTCATCTAGCTAGCTATGCGTGAAAATGGGTTTGAAAGAGAAATTATTGTACATAGGAACTGAATGTGCGTCAATTAATTTTCCAATAATTTTATAATAAAATTTATATTTTGGACATGTAACTTGAAAATTGTTTTAAGAATGTTCGGCTTGTAAATGTGACCAATGTGGCAAATCACGGAGCGTGCTTCACTCAGGTTGATCATTGATGTCTGCTTTCACTTCCAATACAAAGTGTCAACAACTTCAACTAAATTCCATTCTCTCAATTATTGGATTTTAGGCATCGAGGAAGGAAACATTATGGTAGATGATGGGCCCAGGAAGCCTGTGAACCCTCCATGCTTAAGGAATTGCTCACACTAAACAAAAAATGAGATGCGACCAAAATAGCAAACAAACAAAAAAAAGTAATGCGACTATCCAAATAATAATAATAATAACTACTAATGTGGTTTTCTATTATTGCAGTCGCCTCCAACACAAGAAAGAAAGAGATAGAGGCTTCAAGTACGAGTCTATAAATTCATACTTCATAAGCTACACTTTGTTTAGCTCAAAAGACTAGTTTGAAGTGGTACTAATTTATGGAACACTGCCCAAAATGCCACTGTTCACCAACTTTTTTACTTAAATATCATGGGAACAGTGTTATTTCCCAATATGCCACGGGGGCAAGTTCGCTACCCTGTATAGCGAACTCGGTTTGCTGACGTGTCATATTTTTAATGGATAAAAAGTATCAAATTTTAAAAAAATAATAAAAAAAAAAAGAAGGTCGCCTACCATGTAGGCAAACATGGTTAAAATCAAGTTGGTGTCCACTAGAAACGTAACACATCAGCAAACCGAGTTCGTTACATCGGGTAACGAACTTACCCCCGTGGCAGATTGGGAAATAACACTGTTCGCGTGACATTTAGGTAAAAAAGTTGGTGAACAATAACATTTTGGTCAGTGTTACCTAATTTATCTGAAATGAAACTACTACTTTCTCGAATAAGAAATAATCATAAGTTGCTTTGCCTATACGTCGACTAAATTTCTTCACTCTTACATCATTCCTACATCAGGACTTCTCTTTATAAGAAAATAAACACTGTTCTCTTCAAATATATCCTAAACTTTCTTAAGATCGCAAAGTATATCAATATACTTAGAAGTGATGAGATGAAAGAAAATAATGCAATATTATAATGCACGAGTTTATCATAAGATTGCAATATGCCATCACCCAACCAAGAAGACGATGCTTAAGATTGCAAAGTATATTATGATTGACAGAAAAGGCACGAGTTTATGATTGCCAAATAGTTGTTAATTGTTCAGTAGGTCTGTCCCATGAAATGTATTTAGTCTACTATAGCAGCGTTATCAAGCACGACTTGTAGTTCATTAATTGAAAAAACCAGTAGTTAGTTTCTTTTGAGGCTTGCTAACCGATCACAAGAAGTTGATTATCTATGTATACAAAAAAAAAAAAAAAATAACGAAGTTGATAATCTATTATGATCGTTGCAAAACTTTTTTTCGTCAGAAAATGAACTATTAGGTCCAAAATTCCCTTTAGTCACAGATTTTATATTATTAATTACAAAAAAAAGAAAAGATTTTATATTATTTCTTGATGATTAACAAACTCGATTGAAAATGTTATTGTTTAGCTGCATCATTTAAAGAAGAATGTTTTTGGTCTTGTGAATTTCTTTGTTCTGCTTTGATATGAAAAGACGCGGCGATGGTCGTTAAAAGGGATGAAAATCAAGAATATCAACCCAAGAATTGATCATGAAGACCGGCACTTGTAAGTCTGAAGGACAACAATACACTAATCATCAAGAAATTTGAAAGAAAATAGAAAAGCGAAATTTCTCTATTACAATATTAAGGCTAATAATTCCATAATGTCGAGAAATCAATTTAAGAAAGTTCGATCCAACATTTTAGACGGCTAAACCAGAACGGTGTCGAGAACATGTACTCAGTGAAGATTATCCCGAAAAGTATGTAAAAGTGGTTGACCCTAAATTTGTTAAAAGCACAATATACCCACAAAATCAACTGTTACGAACAAAGTTCATGTGTTCACAATCCCAGAAGAGAGAGAAAACAGAAAACATTATAGAATGAGAGCCGCACAAGCATGCATGTGAGGTCAGACAAAAAAATAAAAAAGCACGCCAATATCACAGCACAACTTATGATATTTTTGCCCTCGAGAAGTCCATCTCCGGATGCTGCAAAACAAAACAGTTAAATGTTAGCAGATTTTCCTGAACGATGAAGAAACACATTACGAGAAGTAAGAGGTAGTCAATATGAAAAGAAAGCGTCTACCTCATTCATAAATTTCTTCAACATTTCCTGCTTATTGAGCTCATCACTTGTAGGGAGGCCCATAGATTTCTGCCGCTGATCAAACTGCACAATAGTACAAGAGAATACTTAACCAACTAGCAAACAAATCCCAAAAACCAAAACATTGCCGTCTCATTATATCTTAAGGCTACTAAACAGGGATGAATGCATTAATCCTTGTGAAACAAGAAACATACCAAATAGCTAACATTACATCATCTTTAAAAGCGTTAACCTCAAAAAATGGATGCACACCCACTTCCATACAACAGGATCATACAAAATGAATATGATGAACAAATCAAAAACAACTACAAGTCATACAACTAATTAAAGTAACTACAATCATCCACTTACCATCATTTTTTCAACAGTCTGTCGAGTTTCAGGATCCAGGTCAGAAAGTTTGCTGTTCTCAGGTTCAACTTTTTGTGTGTCAATTTCAGGATCACCCTTTACCAGACATTTCCACCACTCCATTTGATCATGCTTGGTCAAAAGAATAGAAAGTGTTTTCTGATCCTCTGCAAAATAGGTTTATAAATAATGAGTGACACATTAAGAGGTCGTGGCTTCTCACTTCATTAATAAACTGAACAATTAACGCATTCCATTCCTAAGCCCAACACAATTACTGAACCCCCAATGTCAGCTCATGCATGCACACAGTGATTATTCTCAGCATGATAGTCAAAATTGTTTTAGATCTCTCCTTGAGCTTCAATCAGTGGGTTCTGAGCTTTGATCTATGGCTGCTACTGGTTGTGGCTTGCAGGAGATGTGAGAAACTTAGGATGGGTGGTGAGTTGGGTTGAAAGAGAGTACGGAAGGGGTTTGACCTCTTCAATCAGTGGGTTCTGAGCTTGTTGGGTTGTATTTTCTCATGTGCTCTGTTTTGTTCTATGGTCGAATGGTGTCCAGGCTCTGCTTTGTGGCTTAGTGGTATGGTACTATCCAAATATTAACTAGTCAGCCTTTTCTTTTAGTATTTTAATTTAGTGCGTTATAAAAAATTGTGTATCATATTGAATTTAAGGTTGTCAAACTCGAGAGTCTACACAAACTCGCAAGGGTGAACCAAAATCGTAAATCCCAGAATCGTAACACGGATCGCAAAATCATAACACAAGATACAAATTATATTTATATGCATATAAAGTAATATAATAAGAAAATTTAATTCAACCAACCAGTAAAATAATGTCATACAATAGTCATAATCACATAATGTCTCAAACACATAAAGTCATAACAAAAGATCAAAACCCAAAACAAAATATCAAATATGTTTTACTTAAAATCTATATTCAGAGTTATGTTAGTTATATTAAATTTTTTTACTTAAAATTTAATATCAAATATGTTTTCTTTTAATATCACAATTGATTTTTAAATAAAAAATGAGTTATTAATATAGATACATAATGTTAAATTTAACTTTTATGTATTATAAGTGTAAAATATTTTACATTCACATTTCAAATTTCATATAATTATTAATACAATTAAATAAAGTAATAAAACATGATTCCTTACTAACAATATACTGTACATATTTTAGATAGAGAAAAAAAATTATAAATAAAACGAGAAACAGAGGCACAAAAAAAAAATACAAGACAGAGGTACAAAAATAAAAAGAAACAAAACAAAGCAGGGAAGAGATTGAGGTGGTGGTAGATCATCATCAGCATGCTTGCGATGCTGAGAATCTTTGTTGGAGGAGACCATTAGGTTCAAGCGCTTCATGGACTCGTCCAAATCAGCCACCTCGAATGACTCCGGGGCTCCCAAATCCTCCGCAGAGCCCTCCATGGATAAATTGGAAGAGAAGAAAGCAGAGAAGCGGAAGGACAACAACGAAGCACGTCGGAGAGGACGGTGGAGCAGGAGTCACGCAACGTCGTCTCTCACTCAGCAAGGAGGTGGCGGCTGAAACCAGGTATTAGGGTTTTTTGTGTTAAAAAAACCCATTTGTATGATGGGTTTCAGGTCAAATTTTAGGGTCCGTGGGTTTTTCTCCATTTCCTTGAAATCGTTAAACTCGTAAGAGTTTACGAGTTTGCCAAAAGACACGGCGCTTCAACCGTTTGAGTGCCAAAAGCGAGTTTGCAGTGAAACGAGAACGTTAAGGGTGACCAAAAGCGTAAACTCGTCCGAGTTTGCGAGTTTACTCGTGAGTTTATTGACAACCATGATTGAGTTGTAATCTTAATTTGAGTTGTGTCTGGTGTCCATCATATGCATTTGAATGAGTTTAATTAAAACTTAAAAGTTAGTTGTGAGATTTAAGGTTATTATTATTCTTGTGTGAATATAATTTTATATTTTAAGTAAGATCTTATAATCCGTGTTATGATCTCATGTCTTAAGTGTTCCACTCTCCTCCCAATCCTAGGTAAGATCTCAATTTTGACTACCTTGGTGCTGCTCAGAATGATGGCATCTCGGATTTTTTCATACAATGATTTAAAAGAAATCAATTTCATCAAGATGCAAATGAATTATTGTCACTAAAAAGGATTTATAGATGCAATTTAGTAATCCTCTACCTATGCTCCAATAACAGTCATCAGGCTTAACAGGTCGATATAGCTCCCCCTGGAAATTTTTAAAATCATGAGTCAGCAAAGCCATGACAAAAACTTTACACAAACTAAAATGTCAGACTGAAGGACAGAACAAATCATCAACCAGAAAAGAAACTAATGTGGTAGGTAGGATAAATCTTTTAACAATAAACAATATAACTTAGTACAAACTTACATCAATAATTGGTGGCTGGCCTTTGAGTCCAACTTTTAGATGGTTCTTCTTTATCTCACAGATGACAAACCTTGATTTCGTTCCATTTGGCACTGGAACATTCACATTGAGCTCCTGTAGAGTCTGAGTCCAACAATATTTGTCCAGATCCAGGCCATTACCTTTGTTTGGAACTGTCCATGCATTGAAAAAAAAACAATGATGGGGGAAGTTTAAAAAATAAAATAAAATAAAACTTAATATACAAAATTGATTAGGAATCTTATATACTAAACAGATATATCCAAGAGAAAAATTCCTTTTGATTGAGTATGTTAGCAAGAAACCACTAGCATCTAAAACACCAGCATCTATGGTTCATCAGTACAAGAGAAAATTACTAACAGAATAATATATAACACAATCCAACAATGTGTCTAACATAACCAACAACCAGACATTGATCATATGACTAACACAACATTCAAGAGTAACATGGTTCTCGCTCTCCAATGTAACTAATTGTAAATTATAATGCGGACACAAATAAAAATAAAAAAGTTAAAACCCGTGAAAAAGAATGGTAAATAATTATTCTTATAGTATCAACCCAAAATTGAAGTGAAAATTGTTTTTTTATTGTTTTTTTTTTTAATTCTCTTACCTATTGAGCCACTTGAACCAGATTCCTGGTCCTTCTCCTCCTCCTCCTCCTCCTTTGTTTCCACTTCCTTCTCTTTCTTCGCAGCAGTCGCCGCCATCTTAGCTTCCTTCAACTTTTTATCGGCGGCCGCCCTCTCCTCGGCGGCTCTGGATTCCTTCTTCGCCTTGGCAGCGCGCACCAACGACACAATCTCCTTCTCGGCCATGTCGTTTTGGAAGAAGTCGCTCTCTTGTGCGATGAAGTTGAATACTTTCTCCAGAAAACCTATTGGGTTTGATGGATCAAAGTTGGCGCTAAAGGAAGAGGGTTGTGATTGTGACGCAGAAGAAGAAGAAGACGAGGGAGATGCTTTTGTATGATTCTCATCTTCTTGGTAATCAGAGATAATGGCCATCGCTGAGTCAGTGGAGAAAGACACAGAGTCGGAGAAGAAAAACACGCTGCTTAGGGCTTAGGACTTTACTTTTACTTACTTTAGTTTAGACTTTAGACTTTAGAGGGTGTTTGCTTCATTGCTTGGCATATAAGGTGTGGAAAATTCCAGAACCGCCGTGAGTTCGCAAGGCCCAATCCTGGACGAAAGGCCCGGCCCAACACCTCTTTAGCTCTATAATCTTGAGATTCCCTTCTAGCTTTGTTATTCGTAGGGTGAGAAAAAAACTGGTTCACTTGCTCTGGCCTTGATCCGATCTTGACCCGACCCATAAATATCCATATTTTTTGAACTGGTTTAAATACTGACTCACTTTTATTTAGGTCAATTTTAGACCTGACTTGTTTTAATATTGACCCACTGACCCAAAACTTGACCCATACCCATTATGTGAAAAAAAATCACAATTACATTAAAAGAAAGTTTTAACGTAAAACAATTACGTCAAATTTTTTTATGGAAAATATATTCATAAAAATTTTCGCAAAAATTTTTGACGAAAAATATTTTCATCAAAATTTGTGACTAAAAACATATCGGTAAAAAAATTTGACGGAATATTTTTTTTGTCAAATTTTTTTACAGAATCTAAATTTCGTCAAAATATTTCACAAAAAAATATATTCATAAAAACTTTTGACGAAACACATTTTCATCGAAATTCTTTGACGGAAAAAAATTTCATCAAAATTTTTTACAGATTTCAAATTTCGGCGAACGTTTTCGACAGAAACATTTTCGATAAATTTTTTGACAAAAAAAAATTTCGTCGAAATTTTTAGCGAAACACATTTGTATCAAAAAATTTCGACTAAATATTTTCGTCAAGTTTTTTGATAAAGAATATATCCATCAAAATTTTCAACGGAACACATTTCTGTAAAAAAAATTCGTAAAATTTTTTGACAAAAAATATTTCGATAAGAAATTTTGACAGAAAAAATATTTTGACTAAATTCTTTAGAGAATATAAATTTCGTCGAAAGTTTCAAATGAAACATTTTCCTCAAAACAATTTCCATTGAAAATTTCGACGAAACACATTTCTAACAAAAAATTTCGACGGCAAAAAATTTCATTAAAATTCTTTACAGATTTCAAATTTCGGCGAAAGTTTTCGACAGAAATATTTTCGTCATCAAAAAATTTCATCAAAATTCTTTCAGATTTCAAATTTTGGCGAAAGTCTTCGACGGAAACATTTTCGTCAACAAAAAATTTCACGGCAAAAATATCGACGGCAAAAAATTTCATCAAAATTCTTTACAGATTTCAAATTTCGGCGAAAGTTTTCGACGAAAATATTTTCGTCATCAAAAAATTTTGACGGCAAAAAATTTCATCAAAATTCTTTACAGATTTCAAAATTTTGCGAAAGTTTTCGACGGAAACATTTTCGTCATCAAAAAATTTTGACGGCAAAAAAATTCATCAAAATTCTTTACAGATTTCAAATTTTGGCGAAAGTTTTCGATGAAATTTTTTTCGTTATTTTCATCAAAAATTTTAGCGAATCACATTTCCATCGAAAATTTTCAACTAAATATTTTCGTCAAGTTTGTTGATAAAAAAATTCCATCAAAATTTTCAACGAAACACATTTATATAAAAAAATTCCGTAAATTTTTTTGACAAAAAAAACATTTTGACGAAAAAAATATTCTGTCAAAATTCTTTAGAGAATCTAAATTTCGTCGAAAGTTTCAAATGAAACATTTCCCTCGAAATAATTTCCGTCAAAATTTTCGTCAGAACACATTCCCATCGAAATTTTGAACGAAAAACATTCCGTCAAAATTCTTTTTTCGTTTAAAACATTTGATGGAAGAAATCATTTTCGTCAAAACTGTTGACGGAAACTAAATTTCAATAGAAAAAATTTTTTGGTAAAAATTTCGACGAAAAAATAATTTTGTGACGAAATTTTCGTCTTTTGCAACGTAAAAATTTCGACAAAATTTTGTGAGAAAACCAAGTCAAAAACGGGTCAGGTCAGATTTGACCCAGTTCAGAAACCAAGTCAGACCCACTTCAAAAACCAAGTCAGGTCAAATCCAAACTGGTTCTGAACTAGTTCAACAAAATCCAATCCAAGTCAGACCTGACTTGGATCAAATTAAAGCGATTCGGGTCAAAATACCTGACCTATAAAAATCAAGTTTGGTCGAGTCGGACAAAAACCTGACCCGACCTGACCCATGCACAACGCTACTTATTTGTGCCTTCTCTAGTAAATTAAGAATTAAAAAAAAAAAAGAATTATAATCCCAATTCCAATTATATCAAAGTTGAAATCTAGAAAGAATATTCTTGGAAGACCTTTTAGATTGGTTGGTTTTATATTCTTAATATATAAAGGACTAAGGATATGGTGTTTCCATGGGAGATGACCGAAACATTGGGGTGCTGCTCTACCATCAAAACATATATTAACTCTCCACCGTCAAAATAATTGTTGTAGATGTTTTATGTCTTTGTACATTGTATTGGGGTTCTGATTTAATGCAAGCTGATAAAGGGGATTTTAGCCCTTTGTCCTTGATGTAGGAAACTTGCTAATAACAAGTTTCTGAACAAGTAAAAATCATTGTGCCTCCTGTAAATTTTCTTCTGTTATCTTGTATCTCCACGATTAAATTTACAACAATTGGTATCAAGAGCTTCGGTTCTTGTTTTTCTCTCTTTTCTGTGATTCGTGAAATTGCTTCTGCTGCTATCTCTGATCTCCCCTCCCTGTTAAATCTGAAAACGTGTGTCTTTTGCCTGAACTGTTGTTGTTCTTTTTGGGGTAATGTTCTGTTATACCTGTTGGCTGTATTCTCGTCTTTCTTGGATACAATCTTTCTTTTGTTGGCTAGAATCTTGTTTTAGCTGGTTGTACAACATGGGATCTGCACGCGTGGAGGTGGAGAAATACGATGGAAAAGGTGATTTTAATATGTGGAGGAAGAAGATGAAAGCTGTTCTTGTTCATCAGAAATGTGCAAAGGCTCTTGGTGGAGAAAAGGACCTTCCTGTTACTCTTAGCCCTGATGATAGGGGTGTTCGCGGTCTGGATTGGATCGGTTTTGGAAGTAAAACTCATCTGATCCAATCCCTTCGATTTGATCATGTAATCATCCATTCGGTTTAGATTTTTTTTCAAATCCGATCCGATCCAATCCAATTTTTTTCGGTTTGGATTGGATCGGTTTTCGGTTTTTTGAATATCCTAAAATTAGTTTCGTGATTATTGTGCAAATAACATCTTTTGTATATATTGACTTTGTAAAAAAAAAAATTGAAATACAAAAATATCAGTCAACAATACTATAGTTGATGAGAGGTGACTAAGTTTTTTTTTGGGTTTAGTTGATGAGTTAATAGGTCTTGAGTTTAGAAATTTTTGGGCTATGATTGGAGAAAAGACAAGTAAGTAGAGGATAATTAATATATTGGATCGGTTTGGATTGGATCGGTTTTCATCAACCCATCCGAAAACCGATCCAATCCAATTAAAATTTGCGTTTTTCTTTCGGTTTCTGATTTTTCGGTTATCGGTTTATTCGGTTATCGGTTTTTCGGTTCGGTTTTCGCGGTTTGAATCGGTTTGGATCGGTTGATGAACACCCCTACCTGATGAGAAGGCTGATATGCTAGAAATAGCTTACAGTCTTCTTGTTCTTCGCTTGTCTGATAATGTTTTAAGACAAGTTGATGATGAGACCACCCCTGGTGGGGTTTGGCTCAAACTAGAATCTTTATTCATGACCAAATCCCTCTCTAATAAAATTTACCTTAAGGAAAAATTATTTGGCTTTAGGATGGAGTCTGGGAAGTCCCTTGATGACAACCTAGATGAGTTCAAAAAAAATAACAATTAGCCTAGCCAACATAGATGAAAAAATCTCAGATGAAAACCAGGCTATTATTCTTCTCAATGCCTTGCCTGACACCTATAAGGATGTCAAGGCTGCCATCAAGTATGGCAGGGAGTCCTTAGGACTTGAGGATGTGCTAGGTGCTCTAAAGTCAAAGGAAATGGAACTTAATTCAAATAAAAAGGGGGCTGCTGAAGGTCTAAGTGTTAAGGGTAAGCAAGGAAAGAAAGGTCACTTTAATAAAAATAAAAATAAGAATTATAATAATTCTAATAATAACAGTAATAATAATAAGACTCAAAGTAGTAGCAAGGTAACTTGCTGGTAGTGTCATAAAGAAGGGCACGTGAAGAAAAACTGCCCTGATCTTAAAAATAAGAATCAATCCTCTAACTCAAATAAAACTGAGTGTGCCAATGTTTTGAGTGGCTATGATAGTGCTGAGGTGTTGGCACTGTCATGTGACTCTCATGAAGAGGAATGGGTGATGGATTCTGGCTGCACCTTCCACATGACACCTAGGAGAGATTACCTTTGGGGCTATAAACCCCTAGAAGGTGGTAAGGTCCTCATGGGTAATGACCATACCTATGAAGTAACTGGTGTAGGGGCTGTAAAACTTAAATTGGGTGATGGTTCTCTCAAAATCCTAAAGAATGTTAGGCATGTTCCAAACCTTAGAAGAAATCTAATATCTCTTGGGATGTTAGATACTACTGGTTTCTCCTTCAATAGTCAGGGAGGATACCTTAAGGTACTTAAGGGTTCCCTTGTGTCCTTAAAAGGAAAGCTAGTAGATGGTTTGTGCATTTTGGAGGGTGAGGCAGTTACACAAGCCTCATGTGTGGCTTCAAAGAGCCATGATGAGTTTTTCCTTTGGCATAAAAGGTTAGGACATATCAGCAACCAAGGGTTGCAAGAGTTATGTAAGCAAAGATTACTTTCTTTAAAAAATTTCAAAGATCTTAATTTTTGTGAAAACTGTGTTCTAGGAAAATCACATAGATTACCCTTTAACACAACAAGTAGCATGGCTGAAAGTATCCTTGAATACATACACTCTGATTTGTGGGGCTCTCCAAATGTGCCAAACTCTCTTTCTGGCTCTCATTATTTTCTGTCCATGGTTGACTCTTATTCAAGAAGGGTGTGGACCATGTTCCTTAAGCAAAAGGATCAAGCCTTTGAAAGCTTTAAGGAATGGAAAAATCTGGTTGAAAACAAGTCTGGGAAGAAAGTTAAGGTATTGAGAACTGATAATGGCCTGGAATTCTGTAGTAATCAATTTAATGATTATTGCAAATGTAATGGGATTACAAGGCACAGAACATGTGCTAACACACCACAACAAAATGGTGTGGTTGAGAGGATGAATAGGTCAATATTGAATAAGGTCAGATGTATGTTGGCTGAATCTGACCTAAATAAATCTTTTTGGGCAGAAGCTGTTTCTACAGCCTGTTATGTAATTAATAGGTCACCAGCTGCTGCCCTACATTTTAAAACCCCTATGGAGCTGTGGTCAAATAAACCTCCCAGCCTAAATCATTTAAAGCCTTTTGGTTGTCTTGCTTATGTGCACTCTAAGCAAGATAAACTGAGCCCCAGGGCCCTTAAAGCAATCTTTATAGGATACCCTATGGGTGTAAAAGGCTACAAAGTTTGGCTAATTGCTGAAAGGAAATGCATTGTTAGTAGAGATGTCATCTTTGATGAGGTGACTTTCTACAAAGATATTTCAAAGGAGAAAAGTGTAATGCAATCTCCTGATAAAGTTAGGCTGGAGGTGGAGAGATCTGACCTTGCTAGGCAGATCCCTAATCAGCTAGATCCTTTGGAGGATCAAACTGATGATGATGAGCATGGGGGGATGCTCATCAACCCTTAGATGTCCAAGAAGGGACACCACCTGCAGATGATCATGAGGATTCTAATCTCTCTGATTATCTGTTATCTAGAGACAGAACTAGGAGGGTCATTAGACCCCCTAGTAGGTTTTCCCATGCTGATATAATAGCTTTTGCCTTGCAGGTTGCTAGTGAGGTGGATGAAGAAGAACCATCTTCATTTAAAGAGGCCATGGAGATGAGCACAAGAGACCAGTGGCTCATAGCAATGAAGGATTCCAGACCTGGGTTCTTGTGGATAAACCAAAGAGTAAAAAGGTAATTGGTTGCAGGTGGGTATTTAGAAAAAAGCCTGTTGTCCCTGGTTTAGAGGAGGCCAGGTACAAGGCTAGAGTTGTAGCTAAAGGCTACTCTCAAGTAGAGGGTATAGACTATAATGAAATCTTTTCTCCGGTTGTTAAGCACACATCAATTAGGATTATATTGTCTGTTGTTGCCATGTTTGATTTAGAACTAGAACAACTAGATGTTAAAACTGCCTTTTTGCATGGAAATTTGGATGAACTAATTTTTATGGAACAACCTGAAGGTTTCATAAAGAAAGGTTCTGAAAATAAAGTCTGTTTGCTTAAGAAGTCACTATATGGTCTTAAGCAATCTCCTAGACAATGGTATAGGAGATTTGATGATTTTGTAATATCACATGGTTTTATTAGAAGTAAATATGATCACTGTGTATATTACAAAGCTGTCAATGATGACTGTTATGTGTATTTGCTCATATATGTTGATGATATGTTGATAGCTTCTAGGAACATAAAAGAAATTTGTAAAATTAAAGAGATGTTAAAGGGGGAGTTTGATATGAAACTCCTAGGTCCAGCCAAGAGAATTCTAGGCATGGACATTCATAGGGAAAGGAAGGATAAGTCATTATCCCTCTCACAGTCCCACTATGTAAAGAAAATTATAAAATTCTTCTCTTTGGAATTAGCCAGATGTGTTAATGTTCCTTTGGGTGCACATTTCAAGTTGAAATCTGTTGTTAATAACTTGTCTGCTGAAGAAGCTAAATATATGAGCAAAGTTCCTTATTCTAATGCAATAGGTAGCTTGATGTATGCCATGATAGGAACTAGGCCTGACATTGCATATGGTGTGAGTGTGGTCAGTAGGTTCATGAGTAAACCAAATAGAGATAATTGGAATGCTGTCAAATGGTTATTTAGATACTTGAATGGTACTTCTGATTTTTGTTTGCATTACTCTGCAAATAACTCTAATGAATTTGTTGTTAAGGGTTATTGTGATGCAGATTATGCTGCAGACTTGGACAAGAGGAGGTCTCTCACTGGTTATGTCTTTACGGTTGGAGGTAATGTTGTAAGCTGGAAATCCAACTTGCAACATATTGTAGCACTCTCAACTACATAATCTGAATATATTGCTTTAACCGAGGCTGTCAAAGAGGCTCTCTGGCTCAAGGGCATCACTTCTGAGTTGGGTTTTGGTAAGGCTCAACCTGAGGTAATGTGTGATTCTCAAAGTGCCATCCACCTATCTAAAAATAATGCATATCATGAAAGGACCAAGCATATAGATGTTAGGTTGCATTTTGTTAGAGATGTTGTATCTAATGATCTTGTTAAAATTGAAAAGATTTCCACTGATGTGAATCCTGCTGACATATTTACGAAGACTGTTCCATGTAGCAAATTTAGGGAAGCTCTAGATTTGTTACATATTGGTAGCTAGTTGCATCTGTAGGCATGCATGACATTGGGTTAAGATCCCAAACCACTTTACACTTGCATTATTTCGTGATTTTAGGAATAAGGTGGAGTTTGTGGACTTCATTGGTATTCCTAAAATAGGGGTTATTTGGGTAATTTTTTAATGGTCTTTTGCGTTTTGCTCCTTTGGTGTCGTTTGCGTTTTATTACTTCAGCTTTGTGTATTGAATATATATATAAAACCGATCTTCCTTTAACCATTATGTGATCTACCCGATTTATATCTCTCTCTCTTCGTCTTTCTCTCTCGTTCAAAAGGCACTCTGAAACCCTATCATAGGGTTTGCTAATTTCATCAAGAAATCACCCCTTCGGTTTGGTTAATCTTGTGATTACCTGTGTGCTTCTTCTTCTCCTTGTGTGCACCTCTGTTTTCTCGTTCTCTTTTGCAGGATTGATTGAAGATCAAGATCAGGAGCGGCTGGGTTGTTCGCTTGGGACTTGGTGACTTCAATCCAAGATCATAGAAGCTCACTGGTTCAGCTGGTGCATTGGTATCTGATACTTTGTGTGATATTGCATGCTACTGTGTGTTTTCTTTTCGTTCTTGTAATCTGATGCATGTCTAGATCTCTTAGGTGTTGTTCTTTAGAGTGTTGCTTTTGATTCTGAGTTGTAAATGTTTTATGTCTTTATACATTGTATTGGGGTTCTGATTTAATGCAAGTTGATAAAGGGGATTTTAGCCCTTTGTCCTTGATGTAGGAAACTTGCTAATAACAAGTTTCTGAACAAGTAAAAATTATTGTGCCTCCTGTAAATTTTCTTCTGTTATCTTGTATCTCCACGATTAAATTTACAACAATAATAATAATGTAAAATCACAAATGATAAATAACTTTACTCATATTAATTCAATATCAAAATAATTTAATGAAGAAATTTTTTTTTAGTAATTGTAATTTTTCATGAAAGCTCATAATCATATTATCTGTTGTTAGATTACATGGTCAATGTGCTTTTTCTGAACAGCATCAAGAATAAGTTTGAGTGACTCTTCTAAATCATCACAAAGGAGATACGGATCCGGAATGACACTTGGGTCCACCGAAAGAGAAATGGTCATCTTATTAGCATAACTTTGGAAATGGATGGTCAGTGCCTGCAAAAGAAATTAAAAGGGTGCGCATTAATAATGACCTCTGCTAATAAGGTTAACTTCCATAATTTTTTTACCCTCAGATCTTTAGTTATTTAGTAAATTAGATCATGCATGGTGGTAGTAATGATTGTGAATAATTCAACACTCACGTGTGGGTGTCCATACACACTAGGAGCAATGTATGCCACAGGATGACCATAGAAGCTGACTTCTTCCACGGGACCAAGCACGTTAGAGAAGGCCAAAGTAGTGTTGAAGAGAACTCTTCGTGTTATGGCAGCAGTGACCTGCAGGCAAGTCCTATGTGTAAATTTTTTTTATAAATAATGCAAAATACAAGAGCTAATGCCAGCTACTCTAATCGATGTAGATTTCTTCAGAGTAGTTTAACATGTTTTTGGTCGTGAATCAAATATTGTTTTATTTTACTAAGAAGATTAAGTTTTCCAAAGAAGGTCATGTCAATGTGTACCTTGACTCCAAATAAATTGAGTACCAATTTTGCACAAGCATAAGAGCAAATGGCTTCCAATGAGTGCTTCTTCCGGTCGATTGTGGCCTTAGCTTGACGAACATCATCCAATGGATCCTCATTTAAAGCAATGGAAAAAGGGAGCATGATGTATCCCATCCAATTACCCCATATGGCTTTTGATTTCTCAGCCATCATATCTGCTAGATCCTAATCAACATAGTGTTTGAGGTAATTAATCACAGGCAGTGATTCATTACTTAGAACTTACTTTTTAATCATGAGAAAGAAAAAAGGCAGAGGACTATGCAACTACTTGCGAAATATTTTGCAGATTTTCAAACGTGAAATGACAGAGTAGTATATCAAAATGGAACCACCAAATTTGTACTAAGGAACATAATTTTCTAATGAGAAATAAATACTTCACAACACATTGGCATTGAGTTATGAAAGACTCTTCATAATGTCAGTACTTAAACTATTATTCATATATATATTATCAAGTATATTAGCTATATGGAGAAAACCATTTGTTTTGAAGATGTAGTTTCTATATCTTAGATATATAAGAAAAGAGGTCTCAATTAATTAGAATGTTAATTTGGAAACCAAATTCACCTGGATTCCAGCAACTGGTCTAATGTTAACAAGAATTGCTGCCCTAAGGCGAATGTTCTTGAGGACACTAATTGGACTCTGCTCTGCAGCACCACCATTTTCATCCGCACGTGCTTGGAGGACATCATGGGTAACAAAGAGTTAGTGAAAAATGATTGGTTCGTGTTCTTCTTCTTATTTTATGTATAAATTATTTACAACATTACGGTAGTTTTAGTAAATAATAGTGTATACAGGTTCGAGAGAGCTGAATTACTATAAATATAGAAGCTTACCGTATTCCCGATTCAAATAGCGAGTGAGACCAGCTTGTGTTACCCCCAACAAAACATCATTGACGGTCTAATTATCGACATACAACAGAAAAACATTAGTCAAAACACCATATTTTATAATCAAAACATTAATCCAAGGTTGCACATATACAGAATGTTCTTATTACTTTCATAGTCAATAGATAAAGTAATTATTAATATTTGTATTTTCATTTCTATTAGTTGTTATTTCTTTATTTCTTTTTCTGTTTTGTAACTGCCTTGCTGGCTCATGCATGTGGCTGAGCACCTTTTTAGCATTCTGTTAGCTTTTCCTTTGCTGATATAAACTACCTCTTGTACGTCCTTTCTTTTTCAATAAAAGATGAATATTCAGTTTTCCTTTCATAGTCTTTTTCTTCCTGTTAACTAATATGGTATCAAGAGCTTTCGTGTAGCCCTTGCCTTTTCCATGGCTCGTGGCAACACTACCGCTGCTCGTCCCTCGGATTCTTCTTCTGGTCAGTCTCCTTCCATGGAGGACACTACCAGTCCTTATTCCTTACAGGGAGGGGACCACCCTGGTCTGATCCTTGTGGTCACACCCCTTTCTGGTTCCAACTACAATTCTTGGAATCGTGCCATGCTTTTGGCCCTTACTGCCAAGAACAAGTTAATTTTTGTTGATGGTTCCTTACCTCGACCACCTTCTTCAGATCTCCTTTTTTCTTCATGGAATCGATGTAATTCCATGGTCATCTCCGGGATTTTAAACTCTGTCTCTAAGGATATCTCTGAGAGTCTTCTCTATTTTTCTAATGCTTTTGAGGTCTGGACTGATTTAAAAACTCGCTTTGCTCAGGCCAATGGTCCTCGGATTTTTCAGCTTAAGCAACACATTTCATCTCTGTGTCAAGGTTCTCTTGACATTAATAGCTACTATGGCAAGTTAAAGGTCCTCTGGGATGAACTTCAGGAATACCTTCCTCTCCCCCATTGTGCTTGTGGTGCTCTTCGCGACATGAACAATCGCCGGGACCAGGATCATGTTCTTCAGTTTCTGATTGGGCTTAATGACTCCTTCTCCGCTGCTCGCGCCCAGATTCTCTTGATCGACCCTTTGCCATCTCTTGCCAAGGTCTTTTCCATGGTCATTCAGGAAGAGCGTCAACGACAGATCTCCGTTTCTTCTGCTGCACCGCCTGCTCCTGACACTCCGTTCTTGGGTTCTATTGCTTCTGCTTCTTCTTCACCGGCGGCCATGGCGGTTTCGACTCAGCGTCGCCAACGTCCTCTGTGCACATACTGCAACCTTTCTGGCCACACAAGGGACAAATGTTTTAAGCTTCATGGGTTCCCTCCTGGTTACAAGCCCAGGAACCCAAAGCCCAGTTATATCCCACATTCATCGCCGGCCCATTTCCCTCATACACCACAAGCCCATTTCCCTCATACACCACAATCCCAATTATATCCTACTCCTCAGGCACTTTTTACCCATTCGGTGGCCCCTCACCCAAATCTCCCAAAATCTTATCCTATCACCAACCCTGTTACCTCATCCACCGACACACCTCTAGCCTTTACCCCCACTCAATATAACCAGCTGATTTCCCTTATCCACCGGAGTTCTGTTGTCCCCTCCGTCGCTCCTTCCGTCGTCGAGTCCTCCGCCTCTCCTTCGGTGGCTCCTTCGGTTGCTAGCTCCAATGGTAACTCTTCTCTTTCTTTTCCCCGTTCTTGTTGGGTCTTAGATACTGGTGCCACGCACCACGTTTGCGTGAGCACTGATCTTTTTGTTTCTTTTTCACCTTCGACCTCTTTGGTCACTTTTCCAAATGGTTCTTCGGATGCTGTCTCAGCTATTGGCACTGTCCCTCTCACTGCTTCCCTCTCTCTTTTAAACGTTCTGTGTGTTTCTTCCTTTTTATTTAACTTACTTTCCATTCCTTCTCTAACCCGTGATTCCTCTATCATGGCTAATTTCTGTGATTCTTGTTGTTTTCTTCAGGACCGTGTTACGGCCAAGCTGATTGGGATTGCTAAGAGATGTGGTGACCTTTACATTCTCGATTGCAATTTTCTTTTTCCCCAAACAGATGTTTCCCCCTCCCCTTGTTTTTCTGTTGTTAATTTTCCCCCTCCCCTATGTTCTTCAACTTCTGTTAAGGACCCTGTTTTATGGCATTCTCGCTTGGGTCATTTATCTGTTGCTGTTTTAAATTCAATGAAAGATGTTTTGGGTTTTTCTGGTGTTTTACCTGCTTCTCATCACTGTGCTGTGTGTCCCTTAGCCAAACAGAAACGCCTTCCCTTTCTGTTAGACCCCAAGCTCTCTGCCTCTCCCTTCATGCTTGTGCATTGTGACATTTGGGGTCCCTTCAACACTCACTCTGTTGAAGGTTCTAGGTATTTTTTAACCTTAGTTGATGATTCAACTAGGTTTACCTGGATTTATTTCCTTCGAAGGAAATCTGATTTTTCTTCAATTTTTCCATCATTTTATACTCTTATTCTTACTCAGTATGGTCTTCCCATTAAATCCATCAGGTGTGACAATGCTCCTGAGTTTCTTTTGCCTTCTTTTTATTCTTCCAAAGGCATTCAAATCTTTCATTCCTGTGTTGACCGTCCCCAGCAGAACTCTGTGGTTGAACGAAAGCATCAGCACCTTCTTAATGTTGCTCGCTCCTTACATTTCCAGTCGAAAATTCCTCTGCAATATTGGCAGGACTGTGTTCTTACAGCTGCTTACCTCATAAACAGGACCCCCTCTCCTTTACTTTCTTCTCACTCCCCATTTGAACTACTTTGCCACAAACAACCATCCTATCACCACCTCCGTGTTTTTGGCTGTCTCTGCTATGGCTCTACACTTCCCAAACATAGACATAAATTCTCTCCCCGTGCCTTACCGGCTGTTTTTCTTGGTTATCCCCCTGGGTATACTACAAACTCCTTGACCTTCAATCCAACTCCACCTTTATTTCCCGTGATGTTACCTTTTTTGAAACAATTTTTCCTTTCAAAATTAGTTCCCCTTTGACTCCTTTACCTGCTGATTTTTTTCATTTACCTGCTTCTTCTTCTGCAGCCCCTCCTATCCCTGTTTCTGCCCCTCCCTCCTTAAGGCCTCACCGTAACCGCACTGCCCCTGTCCGTCTTGATGACTATATTTGTTCCACCTCTACCTGCCATCCTATATCTAGTTCTGTTTCATACCATAGGCTGTCTCCTTCACACACAGCCTTGGTTAATTCCATTTCTGGTCATTATGAGCCTTCCTCTTACTCTGATGCTTCTCAGTTACCCGAATGGCAGTCTGCTATGGCATCTGAGTTATTGGCTCTTGAACAAAACAAAACTTGGTCGGTTGTTTCTCTACCTCCTGGTATGAATGCTGTTGGTTGCCGTTGGGTCTACAAAGTAAAATATAATTCGGATGGTTCCTTAGAGAGGTATAAAGCCCGCTTGGTGGCTAAGGGATTTACCCAGCAAGAAGGTGTGGATTTCATGGACACTTTCTCCCCTGTTGCAAAATTGACTACTGTAAGGGTCATCCTTGCTCTTGCTGCCTCTTATAATTGGACTCTTGTCCAGCTTGACGTTAATAATGCGTTTCTTCACGGAGACTTGCTTGAGGAGGTTTACATGCACCTCCCTCCTGGTTATTCTTCCAAGCTCTCTTCTCTTCCTCCAAATGCTGTATGTCGTCTGCACAAATCATTATATGGTCTTCGGCAGGCATCCCGACAATGGTTTGCCAAGTTCTCCTCTACCTTGCTGCATCTTGGTTTTACTCAGTCTCAATCTGACCATTCTTTGTTTACTCATTCTACAAAGACTTCATTTACTGTTATTTTAGTGTATGTTGATGATATAATTGTTGCTTCTAACAATCCCATTGAGGTGCAACAGGTTACTACCCTTTTACACAGCAGGTTCAAATTAAAAAATCTGGGCTGTTTGAAATACTTCTTGGGTCTTGAAGTTGCTCGTAATGCTAAGGGCATCTCAGTTTGTCAACGCCACTATGCCTTACAGATTTTAAAAGATTCTGGTCTCATGGGCTGCAAACCGAGGAGTACTCCCATGGACGCTGGTTTAAAGCTCTCTCTTAATACTGGTGAGCTTTTGCCTGATCCCTTTATCTACCGCCGGCTGATTGGACGTCTACTTTACCTCACCATCATAAGGCCGGATCTTTCCTATGCTGTTAATCATCTCAGTCAATTTATGGCTTCTCCGCGGCTGCCTCATCTTCAAGCAGCTCACCGCTTACTTGGGTACTTAAAGCACACTGCTGGCCAAGGCCTTTTCTTCTCCTCTTCTTCTCCTATGCAACTCAATGCATTTTGTGACTCTGATTGGGCTTCTTGCCCGGATAGCCGTCGATCCATCTCTGGTTTTTGTATTTTCATTGGCGATTCTCTCATCTCTTGGAAGTCTAAGAAGCAATCTACTGTGTCTCGATCTTCCACAGAGGCAGAATATCGTGCCATGGCTAATGTCACTTGTGAGTTATTGTGGCTGTTTTCTCTATTTCGGGATCTCCATATTCTTCATCCAGGACTTGCACATCTGTTTTGTGACAACATCTCTGCTCTTCATCTTGCTGCCAATCCGGTTTTCCATGAGCGCACGAAGCACAATGAGATTGATTGTCACCTTGTTCGGGAGCACATCCTTAAGGGTCGTTTGAAGACATTCCCAGTACCTTCCTCCAAACAATTGGCTGATCTGTTTACTAAAGCTCTCTACCCTTCTCAGTTTGCTGTTTTGTTGTCCAAGATGGGAGTATTAAACATATACTCTCCATCTTGAGGGGGCTATTAATATTTGTATTTTCATTTCTATTAGTTGTTATTTCTTTATTTCTTTTTCTGTTTTGTAACTGCCTTGCTGGCTCATGCATGTGGCTGAGCACCTTTTTAGCATTCTGTTAGCTTTTCCTTTGCTGATATAAACTACCTCTTGTACGTCCTTTCTTTTTCAATAAAAGATGAATATTCAGTTTTCCTTTCATAGTCTTTTTCTTCCTGTTAACTAATAGTAATTCTAAACTCGTTCTTATTATCAAAATGGTGCGCGCGTGAACAAAGCAGAATTGAATGTTCTGTGTTATTTCATTCTTTGTAGTTTCATTTTTTCCAATAAACTACTAATGTGTTAAGCTACACACAAGTTAGAATGACACTGAGTCCAAAATTTCACGGATCCTTTCACTACTTATATATACTTCACTTAATTCATTATCAACTAAGGTAAGACTTCAAATGTAGCAAAAATACAATAATTAAAACTCATATGTTACCGTTTTCATTTCTTTCTTCACGAGCTTGATATCATCCATACTAACAGTTCGGTACACGAACCGCTTGGTATTGAGCTCAACCCCTGGTGCACCTTTCAGAGGAGTGTGGGTGTCTTTGATAAAAAGAATGGTCAAAACAAATAGCACCATGTCCACCACAGTGTGCCAAATCAGACCGAGCCACCACCAAACAGCCAAGAAGAGCCACCAGAATGAGCTTGAACGATGGTGTGAGCTAGCTCTCTTCTGGGTTGGAACCGTTGGCAACGCATTTGGGTCAGAGGTTTTGCGAGTAGCAGCAAGGAGAAGTGACATGAGGGAAGCACCATCCCCCATGGAATGGTGGATACGAAAAATGGCAACAGCTTCTGCATCTGAAGTTTTGATGTTGAGGAGATGCAGCTCCCACAGTGGCTTGGACAGGTCCAGTGGAGTTTTTGTTACATTGGAGATATAGTCTTCAATAAATCTATCTGGGAACTCTATTTTGGAATCTATTTCAGGAACTATGACATGGTTGTCTAAGTCAACTGTAGTTTGGGTCCATCTAGTTTTCCTTCCCTTCTTAACCTGAAGAAGATCCAAAGTAAATTCACATATTACATCAACAACGTTATAATATAAAAAGGATATAAACATTAAAAAGCCCAACTTGTTATGCAGCAGCCGTAGATTGATAATATGATTGAAAACGGTGGCATTTCAATAAATAATTTAAAAATTTAAACTTCAAAAAGTTTAATGCTTATTTTTTTGAAAGAAGGATATTCTTACTACTAAAATTTTCTACTACTAACTTACTACTTATCTAATCACCATTGAATCAAAAGAGAGAATGAAAAAAAAAAAAAATGTTAATCCAATAATGATTTGATAAGTAATAAGTTGGTAATAGAAGATTTTAGTAGTAAGAATATCTTTCTCAATTTTTTTGTTGTTGGCTTACAAGTTTTTTATAAAGTTAGGGAGGATTAGAGGAAAATATCGTTTTCAATAAGTCATCGTTATGGAAGTTGACGCTGACACGTGGTAAGGTGGATCTTTTCAAAGGATTAGAGCAGTCATTTATTGACTTTGATTTTCAATATCGAATTCCCTATTTTAAGGGAAGGTGAATAAAGTAATCTATCCTATTAATATTAGGATTTGCTTTTTCGCGATAAATGATGTGTACTAAGTTTAATATGATATTATTTTGGACAAAAATTATAATATTTTTATAAATTTAATTTATTTTAAGGTTATTATAATCTTTATAATTACAATTTTTTAATCTTTCAATCCCAAAATAATTTCGTTTTAAAAATAAATGCAAATAATTTATCTGTATTAACTGTATTTTTCTCGTAATATTATTATTATTAAAAAAGACAGAATATAACGTGTAAAACAAAAAAACTTTATACCCAAGAAGAGCATAGGAAAAAGAAGAAGAAATGCTTAAATTCAGGAATTATATGTCATATATACAAGCAAATATGTTTGATATTTATGTATTATTTTTTAACCCTTTTTGAATTAAAAATTACACATTTAAATATTCTCTTTTATCTTCACTTTCACAATTAAGAAAGCGTTAAAATATGTAAATGTCTAGATTTCTAGAGACGAAGTTATCTCGAGTGAACTCAAAACGACGTTGTTTTAAAGCAGAAATCAAGATGTTTTTGTAATTATAATATATTGTAGAGTTATATTAGTCTTATTATTATAATTTTTTAATCTTATAACCCAAAACGACATCATTTTGAATTCATTAAAAATAACTTTATCTCGAGTGATGGGAGAAATACTTTTTTTCATTTCTTAATGTGCCAAATGCCAATAACACCACCCTGCCCAAAAAGGCAGAAGAGGAGAAAGTCAAAACCACATTCAAGAAGCTGCAGAATAGTGTTACGGGGAGTCTAAGCTATCTTATATGTTATAAATCTACTCTAACAAAATAATCCTAATTTTCAAAAACATTTTTAAAATTATGTATAGGTATAGACTTCGAACAAAGGGGTAGTAGGATAGAGCCACTTACCAGCTTACTGGTGAACCTTGGATGCTTAAGCAGAGTTTGACATAAACCTCGTTTAATGACCTGAGGATTGATGCTTGTCTTGCAACCCATGATGGCAATCACATAACAGTTAAAGGATGGCGCATTGAACAGCTGCGCCGCCGGACTCAGCCGTTCATCTCCTATTGATGCCATATGCACACGTGCTTATCCTTCTTCACCTTCCGCCACAGATTATATATGTATATATATATATATATGAATGATGAATGTAATCAAAATAGCGAAATTAAAAATTAGTCAGAGGATATGGGGATTGTTAATAAGTTTATTTGAAACGTGGGAGGGTCAAGGGTGTGTCCAAGATTGGGAAGGGAACGGAGTAATAGACATGTTTGGCGCTCTGCCTAAATAGGTGGAAGACATAAATAGTTAGGTTTACTTTAATTTAATATCATGTCGTTCACAACCATATATATATTATTATTATATAAATTGAAAGAGAGAGAGAGAGAGAGAGATGAGAAGATTGAATTGAAGTAAAAAACGACGAGATGTTTACTGTTGATACACAACCACCTGCAGCAACCTTTGTCAGGATCAGTAACGAGATGTAGTGATGGGAGGAACTGAACCATGGATGAAAGTGAAAATTCACTTCAAGCTCTGTGATGAAATTGACATGGATCTGTCTCTGATCTCTTCAGTATGATGTTTTTTGTCAGAAAATTGGAGAGTTACCTCCATCTGACACAAAAGAGAGCTAACATGTTTGACCAATCTCACAAACCATTCTGATTTAATATTTCGAGCACGCATGCCCCTGTAATATTAATACTACTCTGGCCTCTCGCCATATGCTTGCAGAGGAGACACGCACATAAAAAAAGCATTTAAATATCCCAATTCTGATCAATCAAAGGTAGCTCGGTTGCCGTGAAATTGAGGAGTTGAGAGTAACAATATGTATTTTATCTTTCCCGGTACCATCCGCCCCAAATTGAACTAGTATTGCAACGATAAACTGATTGAAAAAAATTTCAATTGTGTCTTCTTCTTTCTTTTCTTTTTTATAATTTTTTTTGGTAAATATAATTTTTATTTTTAACCATCACATACTCTTTTTTTTTTTTTTTTGAGTTACCCAACCCTAATTATCTATTTGAGACGAGTTGGTTCCCTCCGGTATCCCCACGAGCTTCGACTCTTTGAGCGGCTATGGGACTAATCCGGAGTGCGGGGGAACAGTGATGGCTAAAGGTTCAGCCCCCTCCCCAAGAATGCATTCAGCGGGAATCGAACACATATCCAACCCCACTAACTCAGCGCCAAATTAGCAACTGAGTTGCACCCATTGGGTAACCATCACATACTATACATACTAATATATATTTTTTTGTTGAAAATACATACTAATATTATTTTAAGACTAATCGACAGAATCATTTTACAGATGGGAAATTGGCTATTCTGTTTTTTTTTTCTTACAACTATTTTATAAAATAGTTAATAAAAAAGGTGTTTTATGTGTTTTTTTTTTTAAAGTTAAAATGTTAAAACGTTTTAAAAAAATTTAAAGAGTTCGCTTTTTTTACGGTAAATATAGATAAATAATTTACATTAAATTCAAAATGATGTCGTTTTAAGGCGGAAATCAAGATATTTTTGTAATTATAATTTATTTCAGGGTTATAATAGTTTTTTTTATTATAATTTTTTAATTTTTCAACCCAAAACAACGTCATTTTGGGAGCGAATGTAGATAACTTATCTACATCTACTATAGAAACATTAAAGCCAACTTTAAAACACAAAACAAAAATAAGTGAGATCTGTTTTTTTAAAACTATATTTACAAAACAGGTTTTATCAAATAGGTTTTTTTATTTTTTTATTATGAGAATCAAAATATTATTTTTAAAAAAATAAATCAAATATGCCCCATATTCTTAATTTTAATGGTACATTTTATTTATATATAATGGTTTTTTACTTTATTAAAGGGTTCATTTTCCTAATGTTACTTTTGAATTTTTTTGTCTTATTATATTCACCAGAACCACGTAATTTTGGGACAAAAATCATAGTGTGTTTTATTTATTATAGGATTATAATAATATTTATTATTTTAATTTTTTAATCTTTCAATCTAACGTCGTTAAATATTAGATAAAGTTTTCTAAGATAACATTAAATACTTTATTCGCTTTATTGAATATATAATTTATTATATGTAAATAAATTAAAGATTAAGATTAAATATAAAATTTCTTATTGCAAGTTGATGTTGTCCTCTCTTCAAATTAAATATTTTTACAACTAATAATTTGTTTTAATTATTATCTTATTCAAAGCTTGAGGTAATTTCACCCGTGATTAATTTGTTCATCTAAGCATATAAAAATTAATAAGCTTGATTTCGTGGAAGACATTTGATGAGATATTTTCGTTCTCTAAATTTTGTAATATTTGAGTGATATTTGAATAACTATTACGTAAGTATTGCCATAGCGTTATAAGGGATAGGACTTTCCTTTTTTTTTTTTTTTAAATATCTTATTACCCTTTTTTTGTGTGATGATGCTATCTTATATAGTTAACGGAATAGCGACGCTGAGAAAATTAAAAATTAAAAATAATGCAGTCGCAACCAAAATTTATTTGAAACATATTAGAAAAACTTTTTTATTAAAGCAAATTGGTCTTTGAAAACAAAATTTGATTCGGTCGGGAAGGTATTATACCCTATACTGTCTGATTACAAAAAAAAATAACTTATATTATTTTAAATATTTATTTCATCCTAAAAATTTAAATAAAATTAATTAAAGAAAAGAAAATTAAAACTCGATGTATCTGATCTGAGAGCCTGTGCATAATGTAGTGTCATCCCCTTTATGCAGAGAAGCCACGTTGACTCTCTATTTTGATGATAATCTTCAAAACTCTTTTTCTGTTCTCATTTTTGCTTGGTTCCATTTGTAGCTTACCCAATTAAATTTTTGTCTCAATGCCCCACTACTTTTTCTGAAGACTTCAATGTCAGTCTCGCCCTTCTCTGTGCACTGCCCTCTATCTATTTCTTTGTTCTTGTATCTTCTCACCTTTTTTATTGAATAACAACAAAAGTTGCTGCACAAAATCGGTGTTCACATAAATGTCAGCATTGTTAAACTCCACAATTTTGTTTTCATTCAACGGAAAACAGACGGAGAGGAATTTAAGTGATACAGTCCCACCAAAATTCAGTGGTCCAGTACCATCAAAAATATTTTTAACGGGGACTATTAAATTTTTTTGGTCCTAGACAACTGAAATTCCTCAATTCCTCTCCACACAGACATATTTCTTTTGTTAGAAGGGTTCAAGGAATGTCCATGGCCAAGGATTACAATCAATGGCCTAAGGCTATATCATCATATGATATTAAGTGGGTTTGACATTATATACAATCCAAAACCTTAAGGCATTATGTACATGGATCCTTCTACTTATATATACTTCATTTAACTTATTATTAACTAATGTGAAACTCATTATACTTGAATATCTGATACGAATTGTATCAAGAGAACAGAGCAAATCGTAACAAGAACAAGGTTTTTTGTGGTTTTATTATTTTGATCCCCATGACGTTTCACGATTACAGTATTTTATACCCTAACCAACTTGGTACAGCTGGCATACAATTGCCAACTGACTCTACCATTCTAACCAGTCGCTAGCAACATATTTCTATTTTACAATTACAACACGCGCTTGAAACTAAACACCACAGTAGTCTCTTGCCCATGCTGGCTCACGTTTCTGTCTCCTAGCTCTTGTAGTCGTAACAACTGCCCCCTCCTCAACAGGGACCTTGTCCTCAAGGTTCAAGGACGGGTAAGTTCGGCGAAGCTCCCCAACTGATTCCCAAGAAGCGTCTTCCGGAACACTGGCAGACCATTGGACTAAAGCTTGCTGTTGCGGATGACCCTTAACTGATACAACACGTTGAGATAAAATAGCAACTGGAGTTTGTAGGGGCTGATTCTCGACGCTGGTTGCAGGCAGAGGAGAAATAGGAACATTGGGGCACCCTTTATATAGTTTCAGTGCTGAAATATGAAAGGTAGGGTGAATCTTACATCCAACCGGCAACTGTAACTGATAAGCCACCTTACTAATGATCTTCTGAACAGTGTAAGGGCCATAGTACCGTTTGGCCACCTTGTGATTTGAACGACGTTGGACGGACAATTGTCTATATGGTTGAAGCTTGACCAATACCAAATCTCCTTCCTTGAAACTACGATCAGTGCGATGCTGGTCTGCCAAGGACTTCATTCTATTTTGTGCTCGGGCTAGGGACAATTTAAGTTGAGACAGCATCTCATTACGATGTTGCAGCATAGTTTCCAGCGCTTCTATCTTCATCAATCCTCTAGGATAGTGGGGAATAACTGGAGGTAGTCGACCGTACAAGGCTTGGAAGGGAGTCATGGCGATCGAAGAATGTACAGAGGTGTTGTAGTGTAGCTCCGCCCAACACAAAAATGATGGCCACCTCTTATTCTGGTCAGAACAGAAGGCTCGAAGGTATTGCTCCAAATACCTATTGGTCACCTCAGTTTGCCCATCGGATTGAGGGTGATAGGCTGAGCTTGCGTTCAACTTGGTACCACTTAAGCGAAACAGTTTCTGCCAAAACTGGCTCATAAAAATGGGGTCCCTATCCGAAACCAAGGAACGTGGGAAACCATGCGATTTAATAACCATATCAGCAAACAATTCTGCAACAATGACAGCAGTATATGATGGTGGTAAGGGACCAAAATGCGCGTACTTCGTGAGGCGATCAACAACAACCAGGATAGTTGAAAAGCCATGTGAACACGGAAGGCCAACAATGAAGTCTAAAGTCAGATCCTCATATACTGCCTCGGGTATAGGCAGAGGATTCAAAAGACCCAATGGAGCTTGAGTGGAAGTCTTGATACGTTGGCAGACTGGGCATTCTTGCACAAATTTGTGAACATCAGAACGCATTTTAGGCCAATAGAATGAGGCAGACAGCCGCAAAAATGACCGAAGGATGCCTGCATGGCCACCAATGGGAGAAGAATGAGCTTCCTCCAACAAAGGAACCTTAAGGTCCGAATCGGAACTCAATAGGAATCGGCCCTTGTGATACAGAAGGCCATCCTTACGTGTAA